CGGATTAGACCTAGTAAAGAAGGGAGCAAGTCTAAAATTTACAAGGACAATTTCATACTTCTAGGTGGCCCAGCTGGAGTTTTAGATGGAGTGGCCGGCTGTTTCTCAGCCGCCACATGTTTCCTGGCAGAACCAGGAGAGCTCGCAACAGTCTTCCTCCGGGCCTTGGAGTCCGGCTGTTGGGAAGAAGAAGCTCTTGGAGCGCCCGTCTAAAAAAGAAGAAAAGAGTCAGTATATGCATAAACACAACTCCAAAAAGAGAGTGAAAGGTTCGAAGCCCATCAAGGGTGCCCCCTTGTTGGGGGAGTCGGTTGAAGACTATTGCATGATGGAGGCCCGCAACATGGCCGCCGCAGTCTTGGAGGCGGTAATTTTGCTCATGGCGTCCGCTGCAAAAACAAATAGCAAAGTTAATAAAAGTCATAACAAGAAATGCACGGAACAACAGAGTATTCGACAGGCCGGCTACCTCTTGAGCACCGACTGCTGAGGCCACAGGCGGCCAAAAAGTACTCGTCGTAGAGCCATTTGAAGCTCGGGACGCAGTGCAGGGGTACTTGCTCTCGTACCCCTGAAGTAGAGTTCACCTTCGACTCTACTTTGAAGAGTCCTTTATCTAGGATATCTTTCTTAGCCTTGGGGGGAACAGGCGGCATGCTTCGGCCGCCTGCAAGAAGGGGCGGATTCCTGTTCCACCTGTTGAAGCGCTTGTTCAGCTCTGTGTCTGAACTCTCAATGATAAGGAAGGTGCTTCGCCAGTCCTTCAATTTGTTTGCTTTACCTCTTGTCATGAGGTAGCCCCTGTGGCTCGTCAATTGATACCAGCCGGTACCGCCTGCCTTAGGGGTCCGGCTGAGGTAGTTCATGTGGGCGAAAGCCTCGAAGTTCGGCTCCACCCCGTGCAGTTCGCACCCGGCCACATAGCCGAGTACGTTGACCCAGGAGTTCGGGGCTAACTGCCATAACCCCAACTCATACCCATCCAAGATCCGCTGAACAGCCGGATGTAGTGGGAAGCGCAGCCCAGCCTTGATGGCCGCCTCGTAGCAGCCAAAGCAGGCGCCATCATAACTAGTACCAGCCGGCCAGACGACTGTGTCTTCTGGATCCGGCACGAACACTAAAAAGCCGGGGCCCATTGTGTGGTTTGTGATAAAGCTCCTCACTTTCTCTTGCATGGCCGTGATCCGGCTCCGAGGTACCGTGCAGTAATAGGGGGTATTTTGCTCTCGGTGAGAGGCGGATGGCTCCGCCCAATTATCCCCCTTCTCAACTGCGTGAGAAAGCCTCGCCTCTTGTAGGCGACTGTTTTTCTCTTCTGTGTCCAGAGAAGCATGGCCAGAAGAGCTAGACTCGGATTCGTCCTCTGACGAGTCCGAAGAGGACGACTCCTCCCCTCTCCCAGAGGGGCCTGCCTCCTCTCCTTTAAAAGGAGGAGGAGAGAATGTAGAATTGTCAACTGTAAAATGGGAAGGGGTCACTTTGACTCCTCCCTCAGAACTGTCGGCTTTCAAGCCGCTTTGTTTCACTTCCACATCTGGCGCCTGGTCAGATGTTTCACTAATCGGCACCCTGTGGGAGGAGCCGTCTGAGTTTGAGATCCTGGCAGTCTTTTTTGTTCTGGCCATCATGTTCTGCATAGACACAGATACAGTCGGACTTTGTATAAAGGGCAAAGATGGGTCCAGAAAAGGGCAGGCGGCACTCCTAGTCCTAGATTCAGCCTTCCCCGGTGACCGGCTGATCACTAACCTAGGTCGTGTCGTGTGCTTCCGTGGTGCCATTTCAAAAAAGAATAAAGTAAAGAGAAAATTAAGAGTAAGAGAACCGACGGTTACCTGAACGAGTGACGATTGATGAAGTTCTGAAAATCCTTTGCAGTTGGCTTGTCAGAGCAGGCGGTAGGCAGAAAGGGTCCAAAATGTCAGAGCAAGTTCAGGGGTCCGAATGTTCTCTCACAAATTTCTCAAGTGTGAAAATGACCGAAGACAACACTCTCTTATATAGGCAAAGTGAGAAGGCGAAGGGTCACTTCCGGAATTCAAAATTTGGGCGGGAGAATCTCTCGGCCTTTCGCCGAGTGACACCTGTATCAGGCCGTCGCCTGTTACAGGGCGACACCTGTCATAGGTCACACGTGACCAGTCAGGTGTCACCTGTGAGGGGCAAATGATTAGGGGATTTTGCTCCCACCAATCGGAATGCGCCACGTGGGCCAATCAGGTCCTGCCAAGTGTCCCCCAGTTGGACCTCTCAGGGCTTGCCACGTGGCACACTCTTATTCGTCCACCCTGGACCTATTATGTCATGACATGTGGCATACTCCATGCCTAATGGAGAAGTCGGCCACCTAGGCCCAACTTCCGAGTGAAGCCCAATCAGCCTAAAGTTAACCTAAACCTAGGATTGGCACGGTTCCCGAGGTTATAAATACCTCCCTTAATCCTCATTAAGGGGGATTACGCAGATTACACACATTAAACACTCTCACCTAGAGAGACCCAATCACTTTAATTTCCGCATTAATTACTCCTTAATCAAGTACTAACTTGACCGTCGGAGGCGGATCTCCAATCATCCGGAGCATCCGTTTGTTTTGCAGGTACATGCGTCCGGTTCCAGTCTCGGAATTGTAACTCTCCCGCAGGACATCAGAAAACCCCGAAACACTACCAATGAGCTTCTAAGTACTTCATATGATCCGATTTTTTAAGCTTACTCATTTTGAACTTTTACACTATTTACATCTCTTCTAAAACCAAATTTTGCAATTTTATAAATAAGTTATTAACATAGTCATGCGAAATTTTGTTATATTTGTCTTAATAAATATATATACCCTTCATGCGGAATTAGTGGCCTGATGTATCACCATATAAAATTAAATACGAAAATGTATATATCAATAGGTCAATTTTGATCTTATGATGACATATAAAAATGACACAAGCTAATAAACGAAAGTTTCTTCCATTTCCTTAAAATTGCAATTGTTTGGCCTTAGATCATGTATGTATTGATGAGTGTTCAAGCTATTATAAGATGAAAGAAGTTAATTCCTTATTATTGGGAGAATAAAGATACATAGGAAAAGAGAAAGAATCCCCTACAAACTTTCCTAAAGTTTTCTATATAGTTTATTTGAAGGCTTCTTCCTGAGTTGTTCTTACTTCATCTTCACTGTTGCAATCATGTAATACTATTAAATATAAATCTACCAATAAAAGCCTTAAAAGATCGAGTCAATTTCTTTAGTCTTATGCTATTTGAGTATGTGGAGTAGATTTCAATATAGATGCTACACACACATTAAGGAAACCTAGGAAATTGCAGTTCAAGGTTACTTATTGATTGGAGCAATAACTTACAAATCTTTAGTCCAGGTATCGAGCGATGTTTTGATTATAAGCAACCTTTTCCTCCGATCTTCGTATGATCGTTTAATTAATTATTAGCTTAGTAAAATTAATTGTGGTACCTAAAATAATCTATTTAGGCCCTCAAATGCAAAATATTTAGTACTCCGTATTGGGTATGTTGTATAACAATAGCTAACCAACAATACATACATCTATAATAAGGATTGATTAAAAGGAGCATGTTAAATTATACTCCCTTTGTTCCTTTTTATTGGTTACGTTTCATTTTTGACACTATTCGTGATATAAGAGAACCTCCTAATTTGTTGACATAATATAGTCATGTGGATTTGTCACAACGAGTACTTTATTAACATTCAATCGTTATAATTTTTACAAGTATGCAATGAAAAATTAATGATCAAACAAGCGCACTAGCAAATGTGTAAAGTCAAAATGTAACCAATAAAAAGGAATGAAGAGTAGAGAAGTATTTTGTCTTCCTTTTATAAATTCTATAATTTTCATTTTATTATGGACTCACTAATAACCCTAACGTTCACTACAGTACTCTACCTTTTTAAATTGAAACCATAATACTTCGTACATATTTTAAAGATTTAATTATAAGATAGAGAGGTTAATTACCAATTTAAGTAGCTAGGGCCGAGGTACTATAATAAGTAAACAAAGGTTTCTTTCTAAAATAAATAAACTAAAAAAAAAAAAAAACCAGCCAGACCCAATAGTATTTCGAAACGTGACATTTCAATCTTCAACTTTACAACCCCCGACAAATAAATAACTAGACACTTTTGTATCGAAGGGATTCCTAGATCCCATATTCCTCATTCTAAAACCTTTATTTGGTGATAATTGTTTGTATTATTGGTTGTTCTTTAACTATTTAACCAATTATTATTGGGTTTTATAATTGGGGATTAATTATTTGAATTACGAGTTTGTAGAGAACCTTTTATTTTTAACGTTATAATATTTTAAAAAATTATTGTAATTTAAATATGCGTGGGATAGTAGAAATACTCTTGAGCGTGATTAACGAGTCGTTTAATAGAGAACTGGAATCTTCCAGGTGTAAAATACGTGTCTTGATTAATTAAATGATACATAGGTACTTTAAATTGACAAGTAGCCGTACAGTAGTAATTTATACCCCAGTGACAATTGTTAACCAATCATTAAACAAAACAAACAATTCAATACATCCTTTGTATCCAAATTTTTGCCAAACTCGTACACTACATATAACTTAGAAAAACAGTCATCTATATTTTCCAACCTAAGAAAAGCTGAATATTTGCGCGGTTGTACAACAGAGCCAGCAACCAGCACTTGTACAAACTAAGTCAAATTAACTATTTTTCTCTAATCTTAATCATCTTCTTAAGCAAAATATCAACTTAATTCCCAGATTTAGTAAGTTTTCATCATCTCTCATTCTTTAATTTTTATACATTTATCCCTCTTTTTTCTTCGGGTTTTCCATATCTTTTTAATGAATATATAAATTATTATAATGTACTGGATTTTATTTATTTAATTTCATTATGGTAATGATTGCTAGATATTCCTTCCTAGGTTCTTTATACTGTTTGACTTTATTTTTGTTCAATAATAATATTTCTTAAAATTTTTGCAGGAAAACTTAGAGAAAAGGAAAAAATGGGGAGAGGAAAGCTGGTAATACAAAGAATTGATAATACAACAAGCAGACAAGTAACGTTTTCGAAACGAAGGAGTGGATTAATTAAGAAAGCGAGGGAGCTTTCGATACTTTGTGATGCTCAAGTTGGATTGATAATATTTTCAAGTACCGGAAAACTCTATGAATTTGCCAACACCAAGTATGTTCCTATAAATTCTAGTAAATTTTTATTGAGAAATTTTACAGATTATTTGTGCTAGCGATGTTTTATTTATTTAATTTCTAGGGTAAAATTAGGGCTTTTATTGATCAATTTCCTTTCGTTCTGATCAAAACCCTAATGTTCCTAATGATGTACTCCAATATGATTGCTGTGGTAAATGTCTAAATGATGATGATAGAAGTATAAAGATGTATAAATACATTGTAGGAATATAATATATTGATTGTGAATTTATTGGTGTGGATGTCAATTACGGAGTACTAGTAGTTAGTTTAGTTGGTAAAATCGCGGGGGTAATATACTCAAAGATCTGATATTTTCTGTCAACATCAATGATTGTAGACAGTAACAGATGAATATAATGATCCTTTTTACATGACTTTTTATGGTACAATTTCAGTCAATTAAAAATAGTAGCTTGTTGGTTGTTTATATGTGTAATTTCAGCATGAGATCAGTGATAGAGAGATACCATAATACGCATGATTGTGTTCTACAACCAATTCCAGCTGATGATCTTAAGGTACTTATCTTGCTCTTTTTCGATCTTGCTTGCATCACAAACTCATTTTCGCGGCTAGATTATTAGCGTTAGATATATGAAGTATATAACTTTTTGTTTAATTGCGAGCCAGTATTTGTGATTATAACAGATTTCAGTTTAATTTAGGTCACATGGTAATGAATTATTGTGACATACGCTAAGATCGTATGTATTTTTTTGTTTGTGATATATCAACTACAATCATCCATCCAATTATTTCATCAGCTATAACGCGTTCTTAATTAACAAGCTTATCTTTTAAATTAATTGCCTAATTATCGATAAAATTCAGCTTAAGTTTATAATTATTAATAATTTTTTCTTCTTCTATTTTTTACTCTTTTGCTCCAGTTTTGGCAAAGGGAGGCAGCACAGCTTAGGCACCAACTTCAGCTTTTAGAAGAGAGCCACAGGTAGAAAAACCCTTAAATTTTCTACCACTTAATTTTTATTTTTTGACATTGGAAAAGAAAAATATATTGATATCATTTACGTTACAAAAGTACAAATTATAGTTAAATCTACTACATTTATTAATATAATCAGAAATACATTAGCCTACTAATTTATTTAAACTTACAAGAATCAATTATGCACGGTGTAACAATATGATATAATAAAGCAGAGTTCTTCAAGTATGTTAACCAATTTTATTTTTTTTGAGGGCATGTCAACCAATTAGTTGATTGCAATTTATTTACAGAAAACTGATGGGTGAAGATCTCTCAAATTTGAGCATCAAAGACCTCCAGAGTTTAGAAAATCAATTGGAAGCTAGTTTAAAGGGTGTCCGAACGCAAAAGGTGTTGAGCAACTTCATTTGTTCTTAATTTATTTATTTCTTGTCAATATAGTAACACACTAACACTTACTTAAATTGAAGAAGGCGATATCACCTAGTGCACGCTAAGCTATAAGTTTCTTGATTGATCAAAATAACACTAATATTATTGTTGCAATTGCATAATATTGTTGGCAGGATCAACTTCTAGCTAATGAGATTACAGATCTGAAGCGAAATGTATGTCTGATATAGACCTTACACAGAGTAGTAATTGGAATTATAACCTTAATTAGTCGCGGTTTTATTGAGCTTATTGTTTGCAGGGAGGCCTTACGCGTCAAGAAAATATTGAACTTTATCAGAAACTTCACATTGTAAAACAAGAAAATTCGGATCTTAGAAAGAAGGTAGTCTTAGTACTTGTGTTAATCAGTAATTAAAAAAAATTCAGTTACACAACTTTAATTGATTAATTAGAAATTACGTGTCTCAGTTGAATGGGACATACAAGGAGCATCAAGCATATCAACAACCACACAAGTCGATTAGTGTTCAAAGTGATCGTTACATACCAGTTCGTCTTCAGCTAAGCCAACCGCAACCATTGAACATTGATGCATCAGCAAGAACTACGACGAAGCTAGGGTAATTTTTTTGACTATCATTAGTCTGTCAGAAATTTATGAGAGTTCTAAGATTTGTTGTAGTTAAGATAAATGTGTACGTATCAACACCATGTTGATAGTACTATATATATCGCTTTGACTGACATATATGCTCTATCAATCTGCAGGTTACAGTTGCATTAGCATATACAGATCTACGTCTTTCAAGTTAGGATTAATTTACACAAAACTACGTAAATGCGTATAGAAATACTAATATGAGTATATGCTTATTACAAAACTTGAATCACTAAGAAGCTAAATGTAACACCAACTTGTACAAGTGTTCCAACAATTACGCATTTCTAGCTAGCTAGCTAGATTTTTTCGAGTTTGATCATTGGAGAAGATCGATTGATCGAGATTGGTTGTACATGTTCATGAACATGCTATTGTGTTGGAGTAGCTAGGAATATATATACAATTGAAGCAGTGAACTTTGCTTAATGATTTTTCGCTATGTTATTGTAAGGAGATTTCACATCATTATTAACAACTTTAATTTGTGGGATTATCCACTATAATTACATGTCTACATACATCAATTAAGGTAATTGACACTATATGATGCTGGCCACGCCCTTGGACCTTGGTAAAATGCTTCCTAGCTATAGTTCCTTAAAATTGCAACACCATGACTTTTGTACGTACTATTTACAGATCAACTTGACTATATCTTTCAATTTACTGTTATTATAGAACAAATGTTGTTGGCATGGACGGTTCAACATGAATGTTTTCAACACATCAATTTTTATAATATTATTTGGATTAAACTTGTACACATTGTATTATCATTCTTATTCTTGCTAAATACTGCATTAGAGATAGGGTTTACAATTAAATTCACCATCATCTGCCTGGTGAAAATCGCCGAAAACAAGAGAAATGCAAAAAAAGCTATAGTCGCGATGTAAGCCTCCCAGATATACATGTACATAAATAAACGTAACAGTATATGCTTTAGATGCCGTAGCGTCATTTATTAACAAATAATGATATTTCTCCTAATATTTCGTCAAACAAAAATCTCTAATTTCAATAAGCTTCTATTTATATAATCTAGAGACTAGCCAATATAAAAATAAATAAAGGTTCAAATATAGTAATGGTGTGAATTTGTGGTGGTAAGTGGTGATCCATAATCAGGGGTGGTTCTGAGCATGTGTAGGGTGGTCGATCGCACAGGCCCCAAAGTGAAATTATTATAAAAGGACCCCGGTTTTTTTAATTTAGTAACATACTTTTCTTAAAAAATTGATTTTAGATCCCAATTTAATAAAATTGCACCGGACCACTTTCAGTATTAGCATTTATAGTCCCGCCTCTGTCCGTGATAAGCTTAGAAAAATGTAGTGATGATACCATAGTTGATTGTAGGAATGTCAACGAATGGGATTCGGGTGGGATGCGGCTAAATTCAAATCCGATCTATTTAGTAAACGGAATCTGGACTTCGATCCGAATCCAAGTCCAATCCGACTCGTAATTTTCGGATATAGCTATAATTGCGGGTATTGTTATATCGAGTAAAGTATAAACAGAACAAATTTAAAATATGAACTAAGTTGCATAACAAATTTTTGCTGCAAAACAAGCAAGCAATTATCAAAAGTTATAAAGCATGTGCTCAAACTCTCGGACTCAGACTCGGATCGGACCTTGCGTTGGGTCCAACTCTAATCCACCTCCTATTCAGATTATTTTATCGAATTCGAATCGGATCAAATTCGAATCGAACTCGGATTGAATTGTCATCCTTAATTGATTATCCCTGTACTAGTACATCGTAATTAAATCGAATAATAGTTAAAAATAAATATATATATATATATATATATATAATGGCATATATATATATATCTATATCTATATATATATATATATATATATATATATATATATATATATATATATATATATATATATATATATATATATATATATATATATATATATATATATATATATATACTGTAATAAATAGTACAGTGTAGTACATAAATGAATTTTTAAATGCCATTATTTGTTAGTAGGAGAATTCAAACCTTGAACAAATCAAAAAATAAGCTCAGATTTGTCGCTTTTGCTTGTGTAGTTGTATACTTGTATGTTACTCGTCATTAATTTATTGTTTATAAATACTTTTTTCATCTCGGAATACTATATTCGTATTCGCCATATTTTCAGTTTACTAATACCCTGAATAAAAATTACTTCATACAGTTTTGTTAGGTGTATCTCAATGTGTAGTTTTACAAACTGATATGAAACATTATCATGTATACAAATATGTTGATGCTCGAATATGAGCAATGTGTAAGGTAAATAGGAACAACAATTAAAAACGGAAGAAATACTACATGCATCTTTGACGAATAATTGATGTTTATCAATTATCATCGACAACCTCTAATTTGACGCATTATTCTTAAAGTATTCTCTTTAAAAAGTATGATACCCTTCATTCAGTATACATAGACTATGATTGTGCGACATATAACAACTATATATGTATAAATTCTATCTTCCACTCTTCCTTAATGTGGATATAAACTAACATAAGGTATTGATTCTTATTTCTTTAGAATATACTTACATGTCTTTCTTTTCTTCATTAGGTTGCAACTATCTATTATGGTATAATGTTGCTCTCAATGGGCTAATTAAAAACTGTATATTTTCCTTATATTTGTGCCGATCTGAATAAAGCTAATATAGACTATATAGTAATGTTTACTTAGAACAAGATTAGAGCAGTCTAGTCTTAAGACTTTTATCTTGTGCCATATTATATAGTAAATTAAATTAATTTTTTTTAATTTACAATTAGCCAAAAATATTTGTTTTGGATCCAACTCCGTTATTCTTGGTCATGTTTATTAATACACAACTTTAACCCTCCTAATATCTTTAATTTATTAGCAACAATTATAAAGTAAAAAAATATTAAAGATATAATACATTGAGATCGACTTATCCAACAACATTTTATAACAATAATTTTGATTACTTAAGTATTTTTTGTCACTTCAAGTTCCGTACATTTTCCTTATGAAATTAAAAAAAAAAAAAATCTAATATTATTCCCAACAATCTGAATATTTTAAAAACTCAAAGATTATTGATTGTTGATGAAGATGTGCTTTTATATAAAAATGGCATAATATACAGTATGAGCACATCATATATACTAGTGTTATAGTGATGACACAATGCCCAGTCATAATTTTTTTTTTTAAAAAAAAAAATATATATAAATAATAACAGTCAAACCTAGGTTTTTGAAACAGTCTAATCTATGCCGAGTAATCAGAAAGAAAAGACCTATGAAATTTAGACATGTATATAGCGCGATTACACATAAAGTAGACAGAATTAAAAGACACTATTTAAGAGCACGTGTATAACACAGACATAAAAACTAGACACCATTTAAGAGCGCGTGTATGACACACACAGCGCATCAAAGGAAGTCAAGATACACATGTGAAGGACTGCGCTAAAAGATGCTTAACAACAACATCCAAATAATTTTGTTAGCTATATCTTGACATACTTATGATTTATGAACGTTGTACCACATCATATCTACACACAACTCACAATTAAGGAATTCAAAGTTAACTTCTTAAGGTACTAATTAGTACAATACCAATTACAATTAATAGAGTTAGCGGGGTCTAGTATGACTAAATAAATCAGTTGTCATATAGTAGATTATGGAATAATTAGTTGGCAGTTTCAACAACCTCGGCAGCAAAACATGATGGAGCAAGAAATAAAAGTAACTTTGGCAAGTATAACTTAATTTTTAATTTTAATTAATCAACAGGGAATTTTCCATCTTTAGAAAAGATACTAATTAAAGGTGAATTATTTATGGCATTATTCTTTTGTTAGTTTAGGAAAGTACGAGGTTTACATAGGAGCTTGTTATTATTGAAATTAGTCCCAAAATTTTAAATCTATATTAGTACGTACTATAATTAGTTTATATTGTACAAGGTTATGTACTAGTTGCGCAGCCAATGAAATGATAAACAAGTTGATAATTACTTGAATTTCCATCCAAAGTAGTCAAAATTCCATTTCTTTTGGAAGAAGCAATAGACATCACGCACAATGTTATTGGACTTTGGATCACTCGCAAGTAGCTTAGCCAAGTGTTAAACCTCTAGTGAGTAGATTAGATCTTAGCTTTATTTTTGTCTAAAAGAATCACAAATTTGTATTGAGAAATGAGTATTCAAATGTCTTTCACATGATAAGGGAGGTTAAGGGTTCATATAGTTGCCCAAAATGGAGGAATTTGAAGAATAAAAGGTTTCATCTAGGTTGATACATTTGCTGCTGTTATATTAAATCTAAACGAAATTTCATTCGGTGAATTTTTTTAGGTTAAAACGATATTGCACTTTATGAAAAGCTAGATGTTGCCAGCTGGAAGGTTCGCATGTAATAGAGTTACTTTTTTCAAATTATTAAATGATTTTTTATAACTTGGCTTAGTTATATGTCCTTTATTGTCCTGATTCATGTATGTGTAAGATGATAATATTTTAAAATAGCAGTGACAGATTGAAAGAAATCTGAATAATGATCAACGGTAGATATGCCTTAGCTTGTATGACGTGTTAGTATTGAATTCGCATAGTTATCTCCTTTAATAATAATTATAAAAAATAATTATACCAAAATAATGCCTAAATTGATATAACATAAGCTAATTAATCATGTCTGAAGTATCTCTTTATAATTTGAAGATTTGAGTCATGTTATTGTAATGCATACGAGTACTAGATATATGTATTTATCATAAACCTGTTGTAGCTAGGAGATATAACTATTCTTTAAAATACTTAACACGGGGTATTTAACATATTTAAGGGTTCAACTCTTTCTATATAGTGAAGAAAATAGAGACTACTATAGAGTGACTTGAACTCTTTGCTTCCATCAATCATTAGAATTTAATCATTTTACAGTAATTCCGAAGCATTTTTGTATTTTTGGGTCCATATTATTTTCTAAAAATAAAGGTTTCAACGCGGTCCTGTTATTGTTGTATCATTCTTTACCTTTATAATTCGTTTATTAAAAATCGTGGTTATATCATGGGCCAACTACATGCATTTTTTCTTGAAAAAAAAAAAAAAAAAAAAAAAAAAAAAAAACCTACATGCATTTTTAACACTTACCAGAATTGTTATAGGCTAGTCGATCTCAACTAATGTTCATCAAACACATGATGAAGTCAACTGATAAGGACGTTTGCAATGTGAAACTGAGGCTAAACTCCCTCATTTAGAAATGGCCAACTAGCCCTAATTTAATAATTAGAAAGGTTTAAGCCTACAAGACGTGTCAATCATTTATTCGCCCGACCAAAACATGGATATTCAACATAGTATCATTACTTAATCTCATCCTCTAACCTTAATTTAAGGATTTTTAATCTGACCAT